TAGGCTGCTGATATTCCATGCTGGACAATAATTTCCCAGCATTTTTTATAGGGCGCCAGGCTTTTCTTAGACTTTATGTCACACAGTACTTACTTGTTTGGAGTAGTTGAGATGGAAACATAGCCTATTGGAAACATCACTACTTCCTCTCTGAAATTTAAAAAGACTATTATCATCCTTCTTTTAGATACTGTTTCTCAGGCAAAAATCTCATAAAGATAGGCAGTGAAAAAAGAAAGGCTTATAATATCCACAGGGTTCAGTCTTGCTAATTGAATATTGTGCTACTAGATTTCTATCAATAATGATAGAAATGGGGCCCAACTCACTCTTGTGGTAAGGGAAGGCACCCCACCCCTTAGTTTAGAGTCTTGCCTTAACCTTTAAACGTACACCAAGCACCATCTGGGATCATAGGCAGCTCATAATGTTGTCAATCATTGTTATTGGGAAAAGATTTGGACTTTGAAGCATCTGATATTGTGTTATCTTTTGGGGAAGGAATATGGTAGAATGGCTAACTGATGAGCTCCAGAATCATAAGGAATTGGTACAAATCCCAACCATGGTCACATCTTCCTTATAAGACATTAGGCAAGTTGTTTAGCTTTTCTACACTTCAGATTCCTTATAGATAAAATGGACAAGACATAGTATCCATCTCCAAGAGAACTAGAAAAATCAAATAAGAAAAATATATGCAATTATGCAATTAACATACCTAATATAGTGCCCAGCCCCCAAGTGATAGAATTATCCTATTAAAATAATAAATTCCTGGGTCTCCTGGGTGGCTCAGTCAGTTAAGCATCTGACTTTGGCTCAGTTCATGATCACACGGTTCAGCCGCATTGGGCTCTGTGCTGACAGCTCAGAGCCTGGAGCCTGCTTCAGATTCTGTATCTCCCTCCCTCTGACCTTCCCCTGCTCACACTGTCTCTCTCTTTCTCAGAAATAAATTAAAAAAAAAAAATTAAAAAATTCTTTTAAATAATAAATTCTTTTATTATTAGTCCTAGGTCTATCAACTTGTTCTTATGTGACCTCAAGCAGGTCACCAAATCTTAGCAAGCCTCAGATTATAAATGAGACTGAAGGAAATAATATCACCTTACTGGAGATTACTGTGTAAACTATAAAGTGTCTGCAAACATTAATCAAGGTTACTGTTACTGCCATTGTTATTAGCTCTCAGTGATCTTTTTAATCAAAAAGTTTATGGATCGCTTTCCTTTGTAAAGCTAGGAGATAGGATAAGAGCCAAGAGAAAATGAGAGAATGTGAATGTCATGCAATACTTCAGGGCATTTTTTAGCTTCCTAAATATCTGTGCATGGTACACAAAGTGTTATAATGGATATCACAAATTAGGACCCTGAAATGTATTCCCTAATAAGTTGGTTAACATTTTCTTCAGATTGATAAATTTTCTCAACCAACATGAGTGAGCTAGAGGACCAACCTTTTTTTTTTTTTTTAATAATCTTACCTTCCCTGGTGTCAATAGGAAACAGTATTTACTCACTACTGTTTTCCTTTCAAAAATCTGTCTAGTTGCATACTAGAAACAGTTTCAGCTGGTTTGTTTGTCTTGGACAAGCTGTTGAAGTGAAAAGTTTTTGCTTGGCTGAATGTAGGACAGTTTCATAACCCTTCAAGAAGTGCATTGAAGGTGGGTGCCAGCTCTGGCTGCTTCTAACATGCCTCCACTTGCTGCCCATTGTTAAGTGTGGCCAGCGTAATTAACTTAAGACAATGAGCAAAGCAACAGATGTGACAGAGACCAAATCCCTGAGTGCTTTTGTTTTGTCACCATCATTGTCTGCAAAAAAGAAGTCACATGTGAGAACCTGGGAAGAGAGCCAAATGCAAACCAGACAACATCCCAGCTGGTTTTGAATGTCCTCCACCTTACGCGTGTGTGCATGGGAACCATGCTGCTTGGAGCAGTGTCTGCTCTACTCAAGTGAGTTTCTGCCCATGGTTTTGCTGCAATGCCGAAACAGGCCCAGAAGAAATTGGCCATGATAACCCTGTGCTCAGACTGACACTTTACACCTCTGCTTTGAGAGAAAACAAAAAGAACCTCTCTGTTGGGGGAAAGGATAAGACCTATATGATTGATCAATCTAACTTCAATCCTTTTTGCTACCACCTTCATGAATCTGAAGAAGGAAGTATAGAAGATACCTGAATATTTTTCTTCTGTAAATCTGGGATTAATTTGGTTTAAGAGAAAGAGAGGAGATTAAACACCTCCTATGGCTTTCTTTTAATTTGTTACTACTTCATTCTTGAGCATTTTCCTATATGGGCATTATCCAGATTCTTAAAAACCTTCTTTTCCAAGCTGGTATGCCTGTTAAACAGAAAAAAAAGGCAAATTCAAGTTAGCATATTTCTAGACATGTTATTTGGCTAGCAGTTTGGTAGAGTGGTGGTATCTTTAATAATAGCCGTTTGGGGGGTTTTGATAAGCCACCTACCATTAGCAGGGTCCAATGAGTATTGAACAGAAATGTTTCAAGGAGTTTGGGACAGTAATGATCCTACTCTGTAGCCCCATTTGTCTTTCTTCCATTTTTCAGGAGAATTCCTAAAAAGCAGAATAACATGTTAAAATTGGGAATACAAACTTACTGGTAGCTTAGCAGTAGATGTTTTTCTTTTTAATTTTTTAATGTTTTATTTATTTCTGAGAGAGAGACAGTGTGATCAGGAGAGGGTCAGAGAGGGAGGGAGACACAGAGCCTGAAGCAGGCTCCAGGCTCCAAGCTAGCTGTCAGCACAGAGCCCTACACGGGGCTCGAACCCACAAACCATGAGATCATGACCTGAGCTGAAGTAGGACGCTTAACCGACTGAGTCACCCAGGTGCCCCATGGCAGTAGATGTTTTCTATAGCAACATATGGACATTCAGTGGACTTGGTAAAGTTGTATGATATTTGGGGGGAAAATGCCAGGAGTTTAAACAGATGGCATTTCAAGCTATCCTATACAAATGCCAAACTTCCTCCCACAAGCGTTTTTTGATGGCTACTGAGCTAGTTATTTTAATAAACATATTTATACAACGATGCTATCTTCCTTCCATTTAGTCAGTACAGTATATTGACCACCATGGGGCACCTGAGTGGCTCAATGGGTTAAGTCTCTGACTTTGGCTCAGGTCATGATCTCATAGTCCATGGGTTCGAGCCCTGCATTGGGCTCTGTGCTGACAGCTCAGAGCCTTGAGTCTGCTTCAGATTCTTTGTCTCCCTCTCTCTCAACCACCCCCTGCTTTCTCTCTGTCTCTTTCAAAATAAAAAAAATAAAGACATAAAAAAAATTTTTTTAAAGGATATTGACCACCAATTTACAAAGTGCTAACTAGCTTTTGAAAGACTTGGTGATAACTCTAATGTTCAGGTAGAGCTGGAAAATATGTGTAAGAAAAATTACCAAATCCCTATAGGCCTTAGCCAAAGGTATTATTTTCAGGGATTGTAGTTGATTTTGTCCCAGCTTCTCATACTCTGCAGGTCTCAGGTCTGAGCAATCTCCAAGGTCCTTATAATGACCTCTAAGTTCCTAAGAATGATTGGGTTGAGAGGTCATTACCTTAGCCAGAAGGAAGAATTTGGAGATACCAGACACCATAGTAAGAACTTTTGTTTTTGGTCATGATGAAAGCATGTTCTGGGGAAAAGGGGTACTGTGGATTCTTGAACCTCACTCTGTACCAATAACTATTCATTATGTCCTCCTTTAAGGTCCTCCTGGCTAGATGTGAAACCAAGAGAAGAAGCACCTTATGTGTATGCATGCAAATGCCACTGCATCCTGGATTTAATTCACATTTTATTTGCCTAAATAAACTTTGCTATTTAAATATATTTATGGATAAAATAATAACTATAGGAAAAGTATAATGACGATTCTGCACATTATTAGAGGGTCCATTATAGTCATTCATTTGATTAATTTTATAGCTATTTATTGAGCAACCACAATGTTCCAAGCATGTTTTGGACATAGGGATGTAACAGTGAACAGACAAACAGGTCTCTAGAGGGCTTCTATTTTAAGCAAAACTCAATATTTCTTGGATAACAACATTGTTTCCTGATAAGTGAATGGTAGCACCAAAGCAAGGAACCAGGGTTTTTAGTCCAGGAAGGGTGACTTTCCAATGAAGATGAAAAAATAATAATAATGAGTAAATAATAACAATAACAATGATAATACTACTAACAAAAATAGCTAATACTTACATAGTGCTTGCCATGTGCCAGACCTATTATGTCTACTTATATATTGATTCTTTAATTCTTAATCCTATAGATAGGAACTATTATTATGCCAGTTTATAGATGAAATTGACACATAAGAGATTGCCACTTGCACAAGTTCATGCATAACTAAACATGGAAGAGCCAAGATCTGAACCTAGCTCAGTATGTCTGTGATTTACAGATTCTAAATCAATTATAAAACCTCCCAATCTTCTACTCCTAAAACTCTCCCTCTGTTCAAAGGAGAAAAAGAAAAAAATGAAGAAGAAATGTCTCCTTTCTGCGGTAATTAAAATAGAACAAAATGCAATAAAATAACAGAGGAGGACCCCAGAATGTGTTCCTTTTTAAAAATTTTTTTCTTTTTCTCTCACTGGGGAAATATGGCACAGGCCAGAATTCTTGATTTTTCAGTATCTCCTTCCTGTCAACAAATCTGCGATAGCAGCAGATGAATAGAAACATATTTATTTATGGTTACAAAGCAATGTGGGGTCCCCATGACACCAGGCTACTTTTATGTAGCCTAAGTGAGGTTCGACTAAACTAAAAACTAAAGGCCTATCCACTTCTTTCTTAGGAAAAAAACAGACCCAAGCTCTCTATGAGATTGACTGATGAGGCATAAAATATGAAATGTTGAGGACCCGTGTTAAAAATAGATGGGTAGGGTACATAAAACTTCTTCAAGTTAATGTCACTTTTCCTCTTTTATTTTTAGGAAGTACATTTGAAGAACGCAAGTAGAGGGAGTGCAGGAAACAAGAACTACAGAATGTAGGAAGACCTTCCTGAATTGTGAAGAATGACATGCCACTGGAAGGATCCTTTGCTCTGTATGAGTTACCTGATAAACACCAGATGACCTACCAAAAAATAAGTTTGATGACATTTCAAAAGATGGGCATTCCCCCCAATGAAATAACGCAAGTAAACATTCCAACATTGTCTTTAGGAGTGATTGTTAAAAGCTTTGCACCTTGCAAAAATGGTCCTGGAGTTGGTAGATTGCTGTTGATCCTTTATCAATAATGTTCTATAGAGAAAAAAAGAAATATATATATATTTCTTAGTCCCTGCCTCTCAAGAGCCACAAATGCATGGGCGTTGTATAGATCCAGTTGCACTAAATTTGTCTCTGAGTCCTGGCTGCTGAAGCCATTCATTCAGCAGCCTTGTCTAAGTGGTTTATTAATTTTTTTTTATTTGCACTTCTTTCTACACAACACAGGCCATTTGTTTTACAGTGTCTGATAATCTTGTTTGTCTATCTTCACCCCCTCTCCCACTTCATCATCTTTATATTTGCCAAATTTGGCCTCCTCAAGAGCAGCAACAACCAGTCAAGTAGCACACCCAAAAGATTTTAACCCAAAAGATTCCATCTGTAGCATTTGTACCAAATATAAGTTGGATGCATTTATTTTAGACACAAAGCTTTATTTTTTCACATCTTGCTAAGAAAAATGCAAGTAGTTGCGGTTTGAGGCCAATCATTTTTAGGCATATGTTTTAAGCATAGAAAGTCTCAAACTCTCAATGGTTCCTTCAAATGATGAGTTAGTGTGCAACCTGATTAGTAATTTCTTTCTTTTTATTTTTTCCATGTAGAGCACTATGTAAATTTAGCATATCAAGAATACAAGATATATCACAAACAGTATGTAAAACTCTGTTTTTTTAGTACAATGGTGCTATTTTGTAGTTTGTTATATGAAAGAGTCTGGCCAAAACGGTAAAAGGTGAAAGCAAAACAAAAGAAGCCTGGAGCCAAAAATAACACAAAGGGGAAGGGTACTAAAATTCCATCCATCTGGGAAAGAAGGCAAAATTCCTGCAATTACGCCTTCCAAGAGAAACTTAAGACACAAAGTCCGTTGATGCAAATTTGATTGGTGAGTCTAGAGAGGAGTGAAAAAAGCAGAAGGCTAGGAATTTAACAGTCCTGGTTTCTATTTCTCACTGAAGAAACAAACATCTGCTGACTCTGTCATGGACTCACCACTGTGTGACTTTCGGCAAGTCACTTCACCTCTCTGTGCCTCAGTTTCCTCATCTACAAAATGGGGGCAATACACCATCTACCTACCTCACAGGGGTGGTATGAGGATTAAAAAGATAAAGCTCCAGATTTTTTCCTGGGTTGCTATGAGGGCACGTGGTCAGAGCCCTTGAGTTGCTGGGATGCCAGGAATTCTATAAAAAACCCATTCGCAGTATAGCTAAAAAATTGATTAGCCAAATGCTCCTGACATGCTAATTCTTGTCAATGAAGCTATCCAATGAATTATCCAACTATCAAGTTGTTAAAAGCTAACAGCTCCATCTCCTTTAAAACACTTTTCAAAATAAGTTAGAAATATCTGATTTACATTTGATCTGAATTCTCCATTTGGATTTATGAATACAAAGAGAAGAGAAAGGAAAAGAAAAAAAAAAGATTTCCACCAGTGAAAGAGCAACTACTCCATCTGACTCTTCCAGGCAGTTACTAGTAATGTAGTAATACTTCTAGCAATATTATGAATAATACTTTATTCATTTTGAACAACATAGTTATTCTTTCTCTTTGGGCAATCTAAGACAACTGGCTCGAGATTTGAAATATTAAAATGATATCTAATTTTTAAAAATCACAAAATTACTTTAATAAATTTGCACTACTCATTAGCTCTATTTACTTATACATATATTTTTTTAAAATTTATGTTAAAATATACTTGACTAGAGTTGCTAGTTGAGAGGCAAAATTTTCCTCCCAAACTAGAAATCTTCCTTCATGTATGCTTACAGTAGTGACCCCTGAACCTCTGCAGGTGTGTCTTATCCATTCAACTGAAAATTGATATAAAGAAAATCCAACAGTGAGGACAGACTCATGGTGGCCTAGAAAATGTTTCCCATCCACTTACAAAGATTTTCTTATTAGAACTGTGAATCATCCACCATTTAGATCTGTTTTTCTGCCTTCAAATGTTTTGGTGAAAAGCAACCAGGCTTGATTACTTCATGCAAACTGTATCCCTCTTATTCTTAGAAAGTGTACATAGAAAACAAAAATAACATCTTTAGTTTTCATCCCACTGGTTCACCTCAAGGTTGAGAGATCAGAAAAAGTCTGACTTCCTGGATCTTCAAACATACCCAAAAGAAGGCCTATACAGTAGGTATCCCTGCTCAGCCAGTAAGTGTTTAAACTCTCAGACTCTCAGCATTATTTGAATCAAGCACCTCTGTCATGCTGAGCAATGTTCTGATCACTACAGACAAATGTAAAAGAAACTGTAACTCATTTTTGCCCTTCATCTGTTTTCCAGATAGATGTGTTCTATGGAATTAGGTGGGGGAACCCCTCTTCCCAAAATACACTTTTGGTTGTTATTTCTTGTTCTTCATGTATACCTTTTAAGGTCTCCCAGCATACTTTACCTGTAATCCTCTGTAGACACAGAGTTTCCAGACACAGTTGAATATGGTAATTCTAAGAGTGTCTATAACTTATTTGATTCACTTAATAATTCTATTCACAGCCAAAACTACCCCAGTGAGGAAAGCTTAAATATGCAAAGCCATATTATCTTTCTTAATTTTTCTAACACATAATCCTCTCCAACTATATCATAAATCAATGAATTAAAACTTAACTAATTATACTAACTCAACTATTTTATTTTTAAATGAAAAAAACCTAGAAGACAAATCAATGTAAGACTTCAAAAGTCAGTTGATCCCATATACCACAGCAGAATGACACAGGGTTGATAGAAAAGAGCACTTAAAATTTCACAACTCAAAACTTTTTTAAGCTTTGCTTTTGCTTTTTCAAAGGAGGCAATTTCAAAATGTTTATGAAAAATCTGTAAATATTGGTAAGAATGAGTTTTCAGCCTACAGGCATAGTTCTAATTTAACTAACAATACTGAATACCTAGGTCAAATTTCTGTTCCCAATTCCCCAAGTAATATAACAGTGTCTTTTGAAGACTTTAAGATGAGGAGACTCCACTGAAAAAGATAAGGTATCTTTCCATCAGAATTTACTCTTCTAGAGATAAAGCAAAATTTGCAACACCCTCCCCTCCATACACACATACATGTGCACATATGCACACACACGCGTACACACACACACACACACACTCATCCTAAGAGTCCAATGGAATACTCAGAAGAAATCACTTCCTTGGAAAATCTTATTGAAGAAAAAAAAAAAAAGCCTGGCCTCCCTTGAGAATCCATCCCCTTCTTGGAATGTCAATATTTGTGTAGATGAAACCATCTTATGCACTGTGGCTCCAGAGTTTCTGTTACTAGTTTATGCACTTGGGAGACTGCTTGAATGGAAGATGTAGCACATTTGCTTTCCCATTTATTGTTTGGCCGGCTATGCCAATGTGGTGCTATTGTTTCTTTAAGAAAGTACTTGACTAAAAAAAAAAAAAGAAAAAAGAAAAAAAAAAGAAAGCATAGACATATTTTTTTAAAGTATGAAAACAACAATTCTATAGATAGATGGCTTAATAAAATAGCATTAGGTCTAGTCACCACCACCTTTCAACTTATCACTCACAAGTAGCGTACTGTTCACCAAATTGTGAGTTTGGGGGTGTGGAGGCAGAAGATGGCATTTTTCTTAAGTTAGAAGGCTCCATTATTCTGTTGGCTCTCAAACTCAGCAAATTTAGCAATATATTATCCAATCTAAATACCTTAATCAAGAGCATAGAGTATAAATGGGAGGAAAAAAGGATCTTACAGGCAACTAGCAGAACAAAAGATGATAAAGTTACTTATGATCTTTGTGCTCTCTGCTCTAAGAATGGCTATTCAGCAAGTGGAGAGAATAAAAACAAAGAGAAAAAAAATGCATAGATTAAATCTGCTAAAAATAGCTTCTGCCACATCCCCCTTAAGTCATTGTTTGGCATTTACTGGTTTATAGAAGATATTCTCCCTTAATCTAAACATCTCAAAGAGCAGTAGCTCTCATAAAAAGCAATCACTGATCTCATTGGGAAGTGTTGGAAAGTATTTCCTTATGAGATGGGGGTTATCTACTGATAAGGAAAGAGAAGAATTTATGAGAAATTGTTGAAAGAGATGGCTAACAATCTGTGAAGATTTTTTTTGTTTTTGTTTTTGGGGTTTTTTTGTTTTTTACTTTATACAGTCTATATGAATATCTTAATGTTCAAAAATGACTTGGTTCTTTCTTCTTTTTTTATATTGGAATGAGGGATGATAAGTTAAACCCACATAGACTCTTAAAAACTATAGGCTAGATAGAAGTGTATGTTTGACTTGTTGAAACTATAATCAGACTATTTAAAATGTTTTTGCTATTTTTAATCTTAAAAGAGTATACTAATTTATTAGAGACAGATCCTGTTTGGCCCTCTTCATAAGAAAGAGCATTCCCACTCAAATCACCTGGGCTTTCCCAACAATATTTTCAAAAGATAAATCTGATTTTTTTAATACAAGAATTCTTTATGCCCCTAGCCTGCAATAATCATGAAGTTCAGACTATGAGGGGGCAAAAACAAGAAGAAAATTTTGTTGATTCTCTGTTTTTGGTTTGTTTTCAATGCTAATGTTTAATCCTATAGTACATATTTGCTTATTGCTATTTTAATATTATAAAAGACTTTCCTATTAGGTATTAGAAACTGATACATAGGTATTTTTTTGTGTGTGATTTCTATTTAAAAAAAAAAGGAGATGAGAAGACTGCCTGAAGCTTTAAGTGCATATGGTACAGGATAAAGATACCAATTGAAATAACCAAGTCCTATCTGGAATAATATTTGGGGGGGGACCTCTCATAGACAAGACGGAGGCCCAGGGAGTTTTTGAAACTGTCTCTATTCCTTCCAGTCCTTATTCATTTAGTATCTGCCTCAAATTTTATAAAGGAGTGACCAGGCTGAAACCCTGGGATTAAAGGGAACTCTTTAAAAAAAATACTCCACATGGTCCCTCTTAATTTATGGCTATATGCTGATCTTAAACATTATCCTTTTTTTCCCCATTCTTCAGCTGTCATTGATAAGGTCTTTGAAGGGAAAAAATTTTTTTAATTTGAAAATGGAGAACACAAAAGTCCAAATGCTAATGCCCAATTGAAATGTGAGTTAAGATGGAGATAATTTCCCTTTCTTAGGCCTTGCTGAATCACCTGTCACCTTCAAAATGACCTTTCATAAGACTTAGAATCTGCC